AAAGGACTTTATTTGTATAAAAGGTTTGTACACGGTATCAATCAAGAGTAACTAGCTACAACTTGTCCTATTCGTGGAGAAAACCTTTACTCGAATCCATCTAGATGCATTTTATGTGCATATATGTAAAAATAGAAATTTGTCTTCGTGTCCCATATGCTCCTCTATACCATTTATCCGATAGGGATGAAATTCGGCAAGCTGATAATTTGAAGCACGAAGAACCATCACATGAGAATCACATCACATATAACTACTCCAAACATGAAGAATTTATATGTGTAAAACTAATTATCTCATAGGATTAGCATTACACATTGCTGCTATTTAAACTTCTGACTATTCTTCTCTTTTTATATTATTTTAAAGGAAACATTGGTGACTATTGCTAACTTTTTACTCTATTTAATCAAACACGAGTTATTCTGAAAGATTGTAGCAAGATTTTAAAAATTTTAAAAGCAAATTTAAGCTGTTTTGGATCATGTTAATGAATTAATAACCTAATAAAGCTTTGAAAATGAATTATCTTATTTTTTGAAGTAATATACTAATATTCTAAACAAAATGAAAAATATATTAGCTTAAATAAGTGCTGATACAAATATTTATGTTATATGTGTCATACAAAAACAATTTGTGATGAGCAGTATTTATTTCATACCAATCTTTCAGTTTGGAAACGATTCCTGGAATATTTGCATTGCATAAAGATAAGAGTGTCTTCTATTTATAAGAAATCAATAGGGAATTCAATCTGGAAATATCTAAAAATCGAAAGTGTTCGCAAAGTAATCCAATTTTTGCCAGACTCACCTTCCATGTGACATTTCTTTTAGATATATTTAAATCTAATTTGAATAAAAAACAGGCCTGTTCAGTCAAATTCCTCTTTCGATGCAAAACAATATGTTATAAATCCTTAGCATCTGTTCTTCTTATTGAATGGATGCTGTTTACTATAGTATCGTATTTCCTGCCTTTTGAAATTCAAAGTATTTGATTTGCATGCAATGCATAAAACTAAAATTAAAAGCGCCATATTTCGAGTATCCAAGTACGCTTTGCATCAGGAGAAATGGGAGCAGCTGAAATGTTGTAAAACACGAGAAGACAAAACAAGAGGTAGTGTACGGATAGAACGTAAGGAAAAATAGGAGATAAACAACTTTTTTTTATGTATAAATGCTTTACTGTGAGACAGTGATAAACGACAAAAGTAAAATATTGATTGTGAAAAAGTTTGATTTTGAGAATAAAATTATACGGAACTTCCGGTAAAGAGCAATTTATTTTGAAATCAAAAACTTAGAAGCAAAAGACAATTATGAAACAATCTAAAGATATGCTTATTGCAAAATTATTACTTTTCACTCTAATTTAGAGATTAATAATTTTGCTTTATATTTGATTTAATAACCAGCGTTAAACAGTCGTCTCAATTCTAAGTTTACGACTATCAATGCTCAACTTCATTACAAATAATTTTGAACCAAATCCGGAAGAAAGGGAAACTCCTGGATCAAGCATTGAGACAAACTAGACTTCATGGGGTACTTTTTGATGGAACTAATTCGCATTAGCGTTACAAGGAGTAGAAAACCACGAAAATCTCCTACAATTAGACCAATGGCAGGGGGATTCTAAAACCTATGATCCGTCTGCCACTGAAGATATTTTGTCACCACTGTGGTCGGTGCGAGACGGGGGTAGAATTCGAATCAACTAATCAACGCTAAGATCGAATCTGGGTTAATTTGCTGGGAGGCAAGCGCTCTATCCCCTTGTGCTAACCGCAGTGGGTCTAGAAATCTTATTACTGACTTCCTATATACTGCTCTTTGATAAGTAGGTTGTCGTACCGGTTCAAATGATGTATACAATTGAACGAGTTTGGTTTCTGTCACTGGAATAACGTATGTTAGCTTACAATCCTTCGACAACAAGATGCATTTTCAAGAATGATCTCTATGTTCCTAAAGGCATAGCAACTTATAGGTGTAAATATCTTCGTTTGCTGTTGTTGTTGTTCACAAGAGCATTGGAGGAAACAGACCTGCATTAGTGCGGTCATTTGAGCTGTCATCATTCGCAGAAGAACACGCAACATTTTATAACAAATTTAAAACTTTAGGGGAGACATAATTAACTAAAATAATTAATTACTCTTTAACAACATTCCCTAAAAGATAGGTCCAACAAGATTTTAAAAGAATGTGTTGAGAGTGAGAATGTGAATGTGTTCCCTCTTAAAGGAAGTTACGAGACCTGTACAAAACGCTCTTGACTAACTCATAAAAAAAGAGCAAACTTTATACTTTGAAAATTATAAATATTTTTTAAGTGTATTTTAATTTTAAAAAATTTTTAACGAATATTTCATGATTTGATGAAGATAAAATGCGGTTTTCAAAACACTTCCTAGTTTCCCCAGGTAATCAAACTGGTTTCCATGCATTTTGTTATCCTTTCTACTTGTAATGTGACTGATTACGATACCATACTGCCCGACCCCTTAGGTGAATACTTTTTTGTTTGCACTTTTACAGTATATTATGAGCGGACATTATAGAACACTATTTTTTTAATTAATATTTCCTTATTAATTGGTTGCTACCATAAAGAAATATTAACTTTATTTTCGTAAATAAACGCCTAATTCTCAATGAATTACTGAATCAATCTTTTACAATTTTCCACATTTACGCAGACTTACCGAATCAAAAAATTTGAAAACAAAGGTGAACGGTCATTTCAAAAGGCTTAATTGTCAAACACGAACACGATTCAAATCATCATCACCAGATTTCCTCTTTAAGCTTTTGCTTTTTCAACACGCGACTAAAACACGAACTCTCCAAAGAAAAAAGGGAAAATAATTATTTGACATTTTTATAGAGACGCTTAATGAATCATTGCCTCTTGGTAAGATTAAACACGCAATGTTGTAAATGTGATTTCTATGCCATTTTTGTCAGATTCTTCTCATATAATGTTTGTAAAACAGTATCAAAAATAAAGGGATTATAATTCCATATCGTTCAGTAACGAAACAAAGTGTTTCAAGTCATTCCAAAAAACCTAAGTGCATTGTAACTATTGTTCATGAAAATAGATTCAATTGATGTTGAATTTTAAAAGCATCTATGTGTCATAGTTCAACACAAAATTAAATTGGTATTGCTTATAGTAATCAAGAGTGAGTGAACAATTTTACACAATTAGCTCAGCGATTAGTTAAGAATATGTTAATGAAGTGTGGAGATGAATTTAAATAAAAATGACCAACATTAAATAATCTTTAGACATGAGTATTGTATGGCAACCGAACTGGTGAATCAATTCTCGTAAAATTTAAATGTGTGTTTAAAAAATATCTAATCAATTTGAAAAATTATAAAAATGTGATAGACCTGACAAGTGTTAAGAATTTTACGATGTAATTATGATTTTAACTTTTTATATCTTATCAAGGCATAAATTGAACTTTTATGCCTTGAACTATATTTTGTTCGTTATTTTTACGGTAATAAAATACAGATTTTGGAATAATCATTTTAAGAAACACTGGTTCAGTCAAGAGATTGCTTTGATAAATATTACCAACACAACCCAAAGTCAAACATTAACTTTCTTAATTGATGACTAATCAAATTTAAATTTATTTAAATATTGATAGAAGTGATGTAAATCGTTTCATTATTAACATAATATCACATATCTTTTCACTATTCTATCATCATCATATCTTCATTTTTTTTCATCTTCTTTTTAAGACCTTCATTCTTGTCATCCATCCAACCAGCATTCAAGAACCTAAGCCAAGGCTCATTTATTGGAAAAAGGTATTAAGCACGTAATCTTAATAAAATTTTCAGAAATTTTTTACAAACGTTTGATTTAGTAATAAATGTAAAATTTATAAGAAAAAGATCGGTGTGCTTGCTTTATGAGGCTAACACTAATTATCAAACGACATTCAGTTAGCTAAAGAATTTGCTTTTTTTTCGGGGGGGGGGTGGCGAGACAGCAAAATTTGACCTTTATATGACCTTCTGACCTATATATTATCTCGGGTGGAATCTGGCTCTAAACCATGTTATGTATCTCGAGCTTGGATGAGGTTGGATTAAAATTCAGCAAACTTTGGTCTGAACTCACCTCTACCTACCGACTGGTCCGACCAGCCTCACCCATCTCTTTTTCAGTTATTCCTGCACCGACTTAATAAGAAGCAACCTCTTCGACGTTATTCTTCTAATGCTCAAACGAAGGCAAAATTAAGAATTCAATCATTGTTTATTCTTAGCCTATGGCAAGTAAAATCATTTTTATCCCTTTGTCATTATAATTATAATTATTAGAAATGATCATGAATCTGCCTGTGTAATAAAATATCTAAAATGCAATACAAGATTTGAAAAAATATTTTGTCTAATCTTTATTCTTTTGTTGACAGATTTTATAATTATATCAATAAGAAATAGCAATAATAAATCTGCCAGTGAAGCAAAAATAGTGAAAATGCTACGTAGGATTATAAAATGTTTTGTTATCTTCTCATATTTATCATTTCATAAATAGATTTTATCATTTCTTAATAATATAATTATAATGATGAATCCGCTCTTGAAACAAAATAGTAAACATGCAACGTAAGATTACAAAATATTTTGATCATATTTACTTACTATACATACATTTCTCAGACTTATTTAGTTTTCTGGTGAAAAAATATATTTTTTTCCTTCCAGTTAAAAAATTTAAAGTTTCATATTGATATACTACTTTAGAAAATTGTTCACTACGATTAAATTTTGACTAAAAAAGATATGAGGTTTCTATGATTCAAATTATTTATTTAATAATGTCAAAATGCGAATTTAATTATTATGCACTTGTTGTATAAACGAATAGCCACAATCAATGTCATTCAATTTAAAATTATATCATTCAATAAAAAATTTGCGAATGAGTACAAAAAGCAGTAAATCTCAACAATTATTTAAATTAGAATATACATTCCATCCTTTAATAACGATTTTTAAAAACATATAAATAAATAAATAACATTTGGAAATAGCATTAACATTAAATCAATGAGCACATTTCTTAAGTTTTTGGATAGGCTTTTTTCAATAAACTTTTTTTCCAATAAATATTTGGTCCTCTATTATACACTGAATACTTATAACTCCAAGAGGTGACAGGTTTCATCCAACTCGAACCATATTCAGCTGATATTACATCTTCTGGTTCACATGGTGTGTTAACTTTTTGACCCAAAAGTTCAGCGGAACATAAACTAAAAGCTGGGTGATGATATCTGTAACCAATAATAATAAAATTACAGTTGTTTAATACGTAAAGAACAGAATCAAAGAAGATTACCGATAGGTACCCAAATTTCTTTTTAAAAGGTACACATTACGTAAACCCTTATTTTTAGCAATCAGGCAACAACCTATATTTGATCTGGTAAAGCATATTGGTAAAGCTGTAATGTTTCGAAAAACATAAATGACAACATTACGTTCTAGCCGTCTATACTTTCGAGACAAGCTAACACCAATTATACCCATTGTTCTAAGCTGGGTGGGTTGCAAAATGTCACCATGGATATAACCTTTGACCTTCACAATGAGAGGTCAAATTTTTATTTAAAAAAGGTCGATTTCCAACCAATGTTGCCACTTTTTGATAGTTTAACTTCGATTAAAAAAATATCTTACATGCTAGATGGTTGTAAGATGTCCACAAGATAAATTAATCTCGAACTGCAAATTTTAGATTTTAAGAGGTAAGTAACCAATATAGGAAATTATACTACAATTTGTAATACAGAGTAAGACGAAATGAATACTTTAATTACATAGGTGCACTATGCAAAAGTGCAAAAAATGCGAAATAATGCAATTAAAAGGGTATATACAGGCAGAGTAAATATAAGCAAATTTTGATAGTACTCCTCAGGAATGTTCGATTAGCACTCCTTTTAGTGCTAATCGAACATTCCTGAACATACATCAAATTTGAATGCCGATGTTAGAGACGGCAGCTGTGGAAGTCAAACACTCTGGATCTTTTAAGAAAACGCACACGAAAGAAATCACGTGGAATGCGACCTAGAGATGGCGGTGGCCAAAGCAAGAGTATTATCTTGAGTAGAAACGTGACCAATTCACCATTGTAAACATTTAGAGAGTTGTTCCTCTGCAAATTTTGTTTTCGCGGAAACACTGCAGACAATTTGACTTCCAAAGTCGCATATTAGTGAACATGCAAACGGTACTTATATCACTTCTACCTCTATGTACCTTTATAATAACTAAATTTATTACATATTGGGTATTGCAGCTATGAAATAGTGGCATTCATTTTGACTTCCGTAATATTTACTGAAATGCGATAAATAATTGTCTTCCCAGATAGTATATATTTTAATTGTTTTTTAGATAGAATAATTGTTTTTTTAGAAAAGAAGTCTCTTTTATTTAGATTATGGGATCAAATAAATTGTATGAATATTCCTAAATGGCAATTAAGTAAAATACATATTTAAATGTTGATTTCAATAACTGTATTGAACAGTTTATTTTAATAATTAAATTTTTAAATAAAATGAACTCTTATTTTTTGAAAGATAAAGTTGTTGGACTGTCTTAACGTTAATTTTAAATTTTTTTTCCTGAATTGTATACCACCGTGCATGTCCACGTTTTAATTTTTTTTTAAATATTATTATTTTAGTAGGTTGACAAATATAGGTAGGCTATTATAGTGGGTTAAAATTGCAGTTACAAAGTACGTCTGTTGCCAAGCATTTTTCAACAGGATTTGAAAATAACTTCTGTAACTGAAATTATATTCTACTTAGCCAAGAATAGTTATTATCTGCCTATAGCCATAAGTCTGTAAGTTGTAAGTCTATATGTTCAAAAGTTATTTTGATTTCAAGCCGGAAAAAAGTTTGACAAGTTTTCCTACTTGACTAATCAATTTTCAAATAATATACAAAACTAAAAAAAATTAAAATTAATTTTCTGCATAAGTGCAGTGAATAAGTGCAATTACTGCATAGATGCAATCTTTTACTCCTTGTCATATGACTTAATTTTTGAAATTTTTAATCATTTATTGAATGATTATGGCGCGATTCTACCAAAAGAAGCTCTGAGGGAATAAATATTCAAAATTATAGTAAAATTAAAAATGAAAAATTTTTGAATATAGAAAATATATTCAAACTATTAAAAATTCTTTAGTTAAATTTTAACAGAAGCTGGAACACGCTGAACTTTAAACACAGGTTCTACACATTCATAAGTTATATTAGTTTTATTTCCTAAAAATTCAGAGAATATTGAAGACCAATAAAATAGTTTTTAGCATTATATTTAGCTATTTTATTCCATTATCTTTGCTTGATGTATATACACATTTAATTTGGACTTTTTTTTACTGAATAAAAATTTATTAGTCGAGATAATCTAATTTCTCAGTTACACACGTAACATAATTTTTAATTTCTTTCTTTAAACACTTCAGTAAATTTTGCAATTTTTTGTTCTATAATTCATATTTCATTTGTTTATATCATTGCAAGCAAGATATTCAACAGAAGAAATTCCAGAATTAAAGCTGTAAATAGTTATTATTTAAAATTCAAATCAAGGTGGCACACATAAAAAAAAGTTATTTGCGTTAGAATTACTTTTACATTTTATTTCGAATGTAACTTTATTTTCTACAATTTACAGTTTTTATTTTTAACAGTAAATTTTTTTTTACAATTAAATAATAAAAACTGAAGTTTTAATCGTAACTTTAACTGACATTCAAAATATTTTCCATTTAACGAAATGGTCTCACTATAACGGTTTTTTAAAGATGTTATTCCTCCGAATTTTCTCATTTTTCGGAATTTTTTAAATCTTTTCATTTCTGTCATTTTATAAAAAAAGGTTGGAATTTCTGTGCAACTAATTTCCTCGGCCACGGACTTGTTTTTGTTATTACTGGCATTTTAGTGAAATGACTCCCTCTAAACATTTTTTTATAAATAAGTAAAATCCATTTTTAATTACAAGACATGATCTTTACGAAAAATATTTTCTTAACCTGTAGTGTTGTTGGAAATCACAACAGTACATATTATTACAATAGTACGTAATTTACTTTATAAATTGTTAGCTAACAAAATATGTAGAATCTGTCTACAACGAAGATTTATTGCAGCGAATTTCTTTCCATAACGGAAATTTTAATCGAAACGTTAAACATTCAAAATATTCCCCATGTTACGAAATGGTTGTCTTCCTTTAAAGATCATTCCAAAAGATTTAACTTTCCCATTTTCGTTATTTTTGGAATTTTTTAAATATATATATTTTTAATTTCCGTCATTTTTAAAAAAAAATTAAAATAAAAAGTTGTAATTCATGTGCAACCGATNTTGAAAATTCAGAGAATATTGAAGACCAATAAAATGGTTTTTAGCAGTATATTTAACTATTTTATCCCATTATCTTTGCTTGATGTATATATATATAACTAATTTGGACTTTTTTTACTGAATAAAAATTGATTAGTTGAGATAATCTAATTTCTCAGTTACACACGTAACATAATTTTAAATTTCTTTCTTTAAAAACTTCAGTAAATTTTGCAATTTTTTGTTCCATAATTCATATTTCATTTGTTCAAATTTTGTAAACAAGATATTCAACAGAAGAAATTCTGGAGTTAAAGCTGTAAATAGTTATTATTTAAAATTTAAATCAAGGTAACACACGTAACAAAAAGTTACTTGCGTTAGAATTACTTTTACATTTTATTTCGAATGTAACTTTATTTTTCACAATTTACAGTTTTCATTTTCAACAGTAAAAGCTTTTTTACAATTAATACTAAAGGAAAACAAATATTTTTAATTCTAAATAGATAAGACTTCTTTGAAAAAAACGCGCTAAAAAGCAGCAGAAATTTCAAAAAAAAGTTGCAATAATGGAAACAAAGGAAATAAAAATAAAAATATGACCACGGAAGCCGACGTCTTCAGGGGGTACCGACCCCGGTAGCCAAAAAACAAAACCATTTCTTATTGAGGAAGAAGCAAATGCCTAAATTAACTCCCTCAGTACCTCGATGGTTTTGTATAGAAGTCCAGGAAAAAACATGAAATTCAAATAACAAATTTAGAAAAGAAACTCAAACAAAATCATCAGAAAAATAAAAACATTATTTTTTATTAAACATTTTTATCAAGCATTTTTATTAAAAAAAATTTATTTTTATCTTTATTTTTCTGATGATTTTGTATGAGTTTCTTTTCTAAATTTGTTATTTGTATTTCATATTTTTTCCTGGACTTTATACAAAACCATCGGGGTACTGAGGGAGTTAATTTAGGCATTTGCGTCTCCCTCAATTAGAAATGGTTTTGTTTTTTGGCTACCGGGGCCGGTACCCCCTGAAGACGTCGGCTTCGGTGGTCATATTTTTATTTTTATTTCCTTCGTTTCCATTATTTTTACAATTAAATAATAAACATGGAAGTTTTAATCGAAACTTTAAATGACATTCAAAATATTTTCCATTTAACGAAATGGTCTCCCTATAACGGAAAGATGTAAAAAAAGATGTTAAAAAAAGATGTTCATCGTTCCGAATTTTTCCATTTTTCGGAATTTTTTAAATCTTTTCATTTCTGTCATTTTATAAAAAAAGGTCGGAATTTCTGTGCAACTAATTTCCTCGGCCGCGGACTTATTTTTGTTATTACTGGTATTTTAGTGAAATGACTCCCTATAAAACCAATTTTATAAATAAGTAAAATCCATTTTTAATTACAAGACATGATCTTTACAAAAAATATTTTTTAACCTGTAGTGTTGTTGGAAATCACAATAGTACATATATTATAATAGTACGTAATTTCCTTTATAAATTGTTAACTAACAAAATATGTAGAATCTGTTTACAGGAAGATTTATTGCAGCGAATTTCTTTCCATAACGGAAATTTTAATCGAAACGTTAAACATTCAAAATATTCCCCATATTACGAAATGATTGTCTTCCTTTAAAGATCGCTCCAAAAAATTTAACTTTCTCGTTTTCGTTATTTTTGGAATTTTTTAAATATATATATTTTTGATTTCCATCATTTTTAAAAAAAAATTTAAAATAAAAAGTTGTAATTCATGTGCAACCAATTTGCTTTTCCATTGGCGTGTTTTTACAACCACTTACATTATTAATTTTAGTGTATAGTTCCATTGAAACCCTCTTTCATAATGCTTATTGCCTCATTTTCAATTGAGAGCCAAAAATATGCATTTAAGAACTTATCACATAAACCAGTTTGAGATCACAGCTGCCACTTTTTCATTAGTTTCTTATAAGCGTATGAAATAATGTCTGCGAAATAGCAATTATGACTGAGATACTTAGAACATTCACTATAGCCGAGTGAGCACGCTATCCTTAATTCATTATAACGAGGTTATATGAAAATATTTTAAACTTTCAAAGAGTGTTGTAAATTAGATCAATAATTTAATTTTTGCAATGTATTGTAAATAATTTCTAGCAAATTATACTTACTTAAAATAGTAACCATAATACGGGCTATGACCGGCATACCAAGTACCATTTTCCTGTTCATAAATAAAAAATAAATCCACAGATAATCCATGGCATCTGAATTTAAGCTCCATTGCTTCTTCAACCTGAAAAAAGAAAGATAAAATAAAATTTTAAGAAAAGTTTATAGTATTTAAACTTCTTTTTATCTTTATTATTTATCTTTTTGGTCAATTCAACACAAAAAAAGTTTTACGAATTTTAGATTAATTAATAATACATTTATTGATTAATAATATAATGATTAATAATATATTTATTAATAATATATTTATTAATTAATAATATATTTATCAATTAATAATATATTTATTAATTAATAAGATATTTATTAATTAATAAGATATTTATTAATTAATACTATGTTTCATTGTTATATTTGGCATTTATAATTTTGAGCCTATTTTGATAAAAGAAAAATACGCAGCTATGAGGGTTAGCATACTTTTCACAGAAACTATGAAAACAAGTTTATTCTACATTTCGTCATAAGAGGATAAGAAAGATATTGCTCCAAGCAACATTCTTACTAATTTCGTTAATTCCAGAATTTAAATCTGTTTGAACGAAATATATTATTGCTAAAGCTAAAGCGAGAAACTACAATTACCATTTAAGCGTATTCCATTAATTTGTTGATAACGGTATAAGGGATAAGTATATGTGTTAGAAACTCCATTTACTATTATACTGTAAATGAACTAAATCATATAACGTGAATAATTTATTTTAAGCAATTATTTAATAATTTTAAGCAAATAAGAATGTAAAAATAAACTACATCGAAATACACCTAAACTATACCCTAAAATATAAATAGGATAAAATTTGCAATCGATAAATGACAAATACATTTTCAAACAATTTCGAGTAGAACTGAAACGTTAACTTGTTTGAAATAACTGTCCTTGTAACTATTTAACTTTGATTCCTGGATCTAGGAGACATTCCATTTTCTCCCTAAACTTGTGAAATTTCAATTGTAGAGGGAATTTCTACGTCCTTGAAACTTTTAAGGCTAGCATTAAGAGAAATTGATCTGCATTTATTTTTTAGAAAGTTGTGACAAAACGTGTGAATGTACATTAGAATTACTATACAATCTACATTTTTTTTTCATGCACTCTTTTTTCCTTAAAACTTTCTAGCCTAGTAGACTATCAAAGCTGCAAAAATCAGTATCCCTAAAAGTTTGTATATATTTATAATAAGTTATTTAAATTTGATTTTAGTATGAAATCCTCTTGAAAATGAAGTAAAACAACGTGAAAATCAAATTATGTCTGATAAGAAGTTCATGTGTTCAAGCTCCTAAAGGTCAGAAAATTATAAATAATTTATAAATCCATTCAAATTTTCCTTTTAAAGGGGATCAAAAAGAAAAAAAAATCCTTAATTTTTGGTCAGAAATCAGTAGAAAAAGTGTTTATTGCCTAGAAAGATAGAAATATTTTCTGTTAATTATAAACAATCTCCGAGCAATCACAGAGCACTATTTTTTTTATTATCTGAACTTGGCTGCTTAGCAATAGAGTAAAATTATGGATTGCTCTCTTGAACTTCTCTATGGCTATTTTAATTACTCATTTGCAGCGGCGACTTTACTTGGCTGTTTTTGGGGAAATATAGCGCCAAATATAGCTTCATTGCCCCCCCCGCCCCCCAGTTTATGATCCAATCTTTCGAAATTTCCTCTCCTCTGCCCCCCAATTTTTAGGATCAGGAATCCAAATTTATAAAAAATATTTTTTTATTCAGAAAAAGAAGGTTTTTTTGTCTTATTTCGTAACTTAATTAATAGTTAGAACTAATTAATTAGCATATTTGAAATCACCTCCACGAACGATTAAGATTGAACGTGAAAATCCGATCATTAGAACAAAAGTTATTCACGATGATATCCTTTTTCTTTTGCGTACTGTACATACTTGATGCGATTTTTTTATAAGAAATTGAATCCCTAATTTGGTTACAGTGAATCAAATGTGGTCCTTTTTAAGGAGAAAATTAGGAAATTATAAGGAACAAATAAGCATACGTAATTAATAAGAAATTATATATAATTTAAATAATCTTACCAAGCCTAATTTCTCGTTTAAATGCAAATGTTCATTTTTCTTAAAGTATTTTATTATTTCACGTGCATCTTCATCATCCATTGCCCAAGTGGCAAAATCAGCATCTGAAGTATATGGTATAACATCACACTGACGGTGCAAGCCTGTAAAATATCAAACATTCATTTGAGGCCAATATCAAATCATATCAAATTCAAATATCATATCAAATTAATTCACCTTGCATCACGATTAAAAAAATTAAATTTGTTTTATCCAAAAATCAAATCAGATCAGGATAGTTCATCTTGCATTATATTTAAATAGGAAGTTTCGAAAATTTATTCAAACCAAAATGAAAAGGAAGCCTGTGAAATATTCATTCGTTTGCAAACAATACCAAATCATATCAATCGCCAATATCGTATCATATTTATATGAATTTTTCTTCATTTATTTGCACCAAAAATATCAGATCAAAATAATTCACCATATTAAAATGGGAAACTTCAAACATGAATGAAGATAAAGCCCGTGACATATCAAGCATATATTTGAACCTAATGTTAAATCATATCCAATATCCAATAATATCATATCAAATTAATTCACTTTTCATCATATTTAAATAAAAAAATTAAGCATTTATTTGCACCAAAAATTAAATCCTATCAGATCAAATTAATCCACCTTGCACCATATTTAAATAGTAAAATTACAAACATCGCTTAGTAACAAAGATCAAATCGGATCATACATTTAAGATCAAATAAAAATGAACTTAATGATTCACATATATTTAATTATAAGAAAACTTTAAAGTATTTAACAAGAAATAAGTAATGCCACACATTTTCAAAACTGATTTTTTTTTCATTCATCACTGTGTTTTCTCATTTGAAAAAAAGCTAAGAAAAATTTTCAAATTTAAATGGATATCTTCTACTTGACAGTTTTCATTATTTTCTTCGAATAGGAAACTAAACTGTGTCGTATATTATTCTAGTTCGGCATAATGAGTTTCGAAAATTTTCACTGCAAGAACTTATAAAAATAGTAGCATTACATAAAGCTAAAACTACTGTTATTTTATGCATCATTCGTAATATTTATTCATACAGATATTTACATTATACATGATATATAATTTTAGCAATACAAAAATTAACATATATATACTCTAGTATCAGATCTTTGGAGATGGTAAATGTTAATATGCATGCCGTTATTAACACTGTATATTTCTGCTATGAAACATAATTATTTGTTTTTCGGGGGGGGGAGAGAAGAAAGTGTTATTTATTTTATCTTTTCATAGGCTATAGAAAATGTAGAATTAATTAAATGCTATACATATGCTATACTTTTCTATTTTGTATGCTAAAAATAATTTTCAGCATACAAAATAGAAAAGTAATTGGCTGTAAAGTTTAGGTCTTTCTTTTCTGTGACCTTTCCCTTATTTTAACAAAACTTTGAGCTAAAAAAAATTCGAAGATTAATAGAGCACATGAGGAAAAGTGGTTTAATATCATACTTTCTACTCAAATGAAACTAGGGCAGGCCATAAATCAAACTTTTTTTTTGATAATGGCCCCTTTTTTACCTTCATCACAACGTGTCACACTTAGCCATACCCCTTTTCCCCTTGTCACACTCATATCACGCTATTTTAAATATACATATATAGTTTGAGAAAAAACACAAGTTTAAGATCATATTTCAAATTTGATTTTTAAGCGTTAACTATGCATTACGACATTTATGAACATAACGATAAAGAGTGATAGATGTGTGCTTATTTTAATAGAAAAATATTTAATTTGTTGATTTTAAATGGTGGTACAATTTAGCCAAAATGTGTGTCACTTCTTACTAACTCCTCCCTTCAATTGTCACAAATTAACGTTACCCTTCCAAGCGTTAAAACAGTAATGGAACTCCCCAAATAACAATCTGAACGTTACGTCTGTACATAACAGTTGTAAAAACTATGACCGGTGATTTCAAGTATCATTTAAATGAAACATGGTAGGAGTTTTAAAATAATTTACGTGGTCAACAGATGGCATTGCTAATCGAGGAAACAAACATTATTTTAAGATAGCCATCATCTGTAGTAAGAACATACAATCTTAGTACAAAATTAGCAAACCCCCTAGCAGAGCCGTGGTAGCTTGGGGGTAGAGCATTCGCCTTCCAATATTCCGGGTTCGAATCCTAGCGATGGCTGATCAATACGAATTCCGCTCCAGGCTCGCATCGACCACAGGGCTGACGTAAAATATCCTCAGTAGTAGACGGAACATGGTTTAGATTTGCCTTGTCATCAGGATAACCGTGGGAGGCTTTCGTGGTTCTCATCTCCGTGTAACGCAAGTACTGATTAGATCCATCAAAAAGTCCTCCACGAAGTTAAATTTCAATGCTTGATCCTTTGTCTTTTGGATTGGGTTCAAAATTATAAGGATACTGTGGTGAATATTGGTAGTCGTAGACTCAAAATTGGGTCAGCTGTTGGACGACGGTTATAAAAAAATTTGAAGGTTATGAATCCAAGTCCACTGAAAAATATATATGCTTATTCAGATTAAATATGTTTTTTTTTCTTGTTTTCGTTACTTAGAATATTATCTACCCAAAGTAATTAGCATATCTAAGATTATTTCCTCAAATCATTATGATTAATTATTAGTCAATTTGCCAGTTTGTGAATCTCCAGCACTATCTTCATAAATCCAAATACCTCAACGTAGTCAGGCAGAAGATATTATTATAATAATTCACCATAATTCATACAAAAATTGAACATAAAACTATCACCATTTTTTGCAAGTATGAAATCCTAAAGAAATTATGCACAAAAACTTTGCGTTGCTTAAATTCAAGTTGAATTTTATACCCAAATAAAATTGAATAGTCAAGCAGCAGAAAAAATTTTTACTTTTGTTCCTTGCGGTGCTCTCTCAACACAGCTTCTTTTAATTTCTTTTAGAAAAAAGTTTAGAGATGTTTTAAAAGACAATTTTTACCCTTTTGTTTGATGGCTTTTTAAAAATAAAGGCTTAGATAGGAAAAAAATCTGATCTGCAGGTGCTGTAATAATCTGCAGCGCTCGCTACAGATTAGTACATTAAGCTTCTGCTACCGGATTTATTAGTACGTGATAATCCGATTACTAAATCAAAAGTTATTGAAGTGTTCCCTTTTTTATTTTGCGTACTGTACAAACAAGATAGCTAAGTTATGTTGCTTAATCCCGCAATGGCAGCTCATAAAATTTTATTTGAACAAAGTTATGATGCACTTTTTCATTCATTTAGAGATATTTTCATGTTCTGTCATAATATTGTATCATTATTGCTTTATAGATTTTAAGTGTAAGTTCGCTATTTCTTTTTTTTAATATTTTCTCTTTTTCATGCTTTTAATTCATCATTGCTGATTTCTTTCCGTGGAAATGAAGTTTTAAATTATGTAATATCATGCATTAGAAACATTACTTAGCTATACTATTATCTTTAGTTTAGTAATTCTCTTTTATATTAAAATTATTTTACATTTGATACTTCAACAAGATGGTCTTTTTTTTTATTATAAAAATTATATGAATTTTTTAATTCGTTTAGATTCCTAATAGTTAATACTAAATGTATTGAATATTTGAGTAAAATACTTAAATAAAAGGAGTCGTGGTGGCTCAGTGGATAAGGCACTGAACTGTCATTGTGAAGAACTAGAGGACGTCATGCCTCGGCAGAAAATTTTCGTCGCAAATTCTCTTTTTCCTTCAATACAAATTTAAATTTTATTATTTCCTATGAGCTGCACAATCAGTCTTCCCGATGAGCAGACCTAGTTCGTTCTCCAGAAGTGGTATCCACTCTTTCAGGACCACCACAATGGGTGAGGTACCGTTGGCCATGTTAATTTGGACGTCTAGTTTCTGCCACACTAGATGGCAGCACCGAGACAATGAAATCAATTAAAAATTTGAAAGAAGGAAAAAGTCAGTTCAGGCAAAACCTAGAGTTTGTCATTAAGTTTCAATTGTTGAAAAAAAATACTTCAAAATGTTAAAATGCAAACAAATTTTTAGATAAGAACTTCTCCGTTGCATGATCCTAAGTTATCATCTCATAATTTATTTTCATTTGCATATTTTAAAATTTTCTTTTCAGGATTTGACACTTCATGGCTTACTCTAGGTTTGTCTGAACTCACTTTTTTTACACTTTATTGTCGTCTATTTACGTCGCACTAGAGCTGCACAAAGGGCTATTAGTCGACGATCTGGGAAACATCCCTGAGGATGATCCGAAGACATGCCATCACAATTTTGATCCTCTGCAGAGGGGATGGCACCCCCGCTTTGGTAGCCCGGCGACCCGCACGCAAAATCGAGCACTTTACGGTAGAACAGTTTAATGAGGACCAATACCGCACACCCTCGGTCCCTACGTAGACTAATCCAAGTGATCACCCACCCGCACACTGACTGCAGCCAGTGATGCTTGACTTCGGTGATCTCTACTGGGAATCTTGCCTTAAAGATCAGTCCACTGCGGGACAAGTTATGAGTTAGAGATACTCCTTTAAAAGTCGTGTGAATAAAAAGAGTAGCTTTGCTGCTTGTCATATAGTTACTAACGCGAATAAGCAGAGAATGTGACGCCATTTTTTATTACTAGGAGTATAGTGATAATTTTTTTGAAATAAATTTTCTGTAGTTGCATATACGTTGTAAGTTTACTTGCACATGCTAAATTCATTTTTAACATTCTTAGAACTAAAATCAGAGCAAATCATCATTATACGCTTTGAAAATGACTGAGTAACTACCNTCAGGATTTGACACTTTCATGGCTTACTCTAGGTTTGTCTGAACTCACTTTTTTTACACTTTATTTTATTTTATAACCGTCGTTGAACAGCCGACCCAATTTCATGGGTTTACGACTACTTACGTTCAACTCCGTAGCCTTGTAATTTTGAACCAATCCAGAAAACAAGGAAACTCCTGGATCAGTACCCCCAGAGGTATTGATTTGTTGTGGGAACATGGAGGACTTTGAGACTCGACAGATTTAACGTGCATCAGTCACCATTTACTACACGGGGAGTCTTCGGCCGGCGAGTATCGAACCCACGACCTCTTGGATATGGGCCCAGCGCCCTACCGACCTGGCTATCCCGGCCCTTTACACTTTATTGTCGTTTATTTACGTCGCACTAGAGCTGCACAAAGGGCTATTAACGGCGGTCTGGGAAACATCCCTGAGGATGATCCGAAGACACGCCATCATAATTTTGATTCTCTGCAGAGGGGATGGCACCCCAGCTTCGGTAGCTGGACAACCTGCACGCAAAATCGAGCACTTTACGGTAGAACAGATTAACGAGGACCAATACTGCACACCCTCGGTCCCTACGTAGACTAATCCAAGTGATCACCCACCCGCACACTGACCGCAGTCAGTGATGCTTGACTTCGGTGATCTCTGCTGGGAATCGCGCCTTAAAGATCAGTCCACTGCGGGACAAGTTATGAGTTAGAGATACTCCTTTTAACCGCCGTGTGAATAAAAAGAGTAGCTTTGCTGCTTGTCATATAGTTACTAACGCGAATAAGCAGAGAATGTGACGCCATTTTTTATTACTAGGAGTATAGTGATAATTTTTTTGAAATAAATTTTCTGTAGTTGCATATACGTTGTAAGTTTACTTGCACATGCTAAATTCATTTTTAACATTCTTAGAACTAAAATCAGAGCAAATCATCATTATACGCTTTGAAAGTGACTGAGTAACTACCAATTTATATATATTCTACCCGCTGGACATTTATTCAACCCACATCATAGTTGTGATTCTGAGAAACAGATCTGCTGGGAACCGTGTCTTAACGATCAGCCAACTGCGGGACTTTTTACACTTTAAATTTTTAAATTCATAGTAAAAGAAAACTAGAATTTTGCAACAAAAATTTTCTTCCGTAGTATGGCGTCCTCTTAAAGCCCACCCAGCCTCAGATCGATGAGCACCAGTTTGTGTGAGAATCGTGCCATTGGTCACGAAATTGTGATGCCTTAACCTCTATGACCCCCTGACTCACAACAGGCTGTTGTGGAAATGCTTTATTTTATTTTTTCCTTAAATTAAAGAGTAATTTATTGTAAAAAAAAACAGTGAATCTTACCTAATAGAGTTCCGGACCACACCCAAAACCGTATGAGCATTGGATCAAGTTTTTGTTTCATCTCTTCTATTGTAATTAAAAGGCGCTGATTAAACTCTTGTTGAGATAAACTGGAATAATCGTGAACGGTTGAAAGATTAGAAACATGGTGATTCCTGAATGAATTGACGATAGTTTCATTGCATTCCAGAAATCTCGATGTTTCTATCTGGTATAGGAAGCTAGCTGGATTTGTTGGAATGCTTAGACTCTTCAAACTTTGAGCTTTAATACCAAGCGACACGGCAGTGAAACTAAAATCAAAAGGTTCCAACTAATTCCGAATTATAACTTTACATCATAAGAGTAAAAAATTATTGAAATAAGTCATACACATTTAGTTCTGAATATAAAAGACATTACGCAATCAGTGTAATGAATAAATATCAGACCATTGAGGGTCGTAGTCGAAGAAAATTTGGCGGGAGTTGGAAAAACTTAACTTTACTCCAACTCCCAATTGGTTAAATTTTATTCTTTGTGAGTTAGAAGATAAGTTTTTTATTCTACGTATACAAATATATGACAAATTGTGTATGACAAATATTTATAATTTTGTTAGTAAACTTTTTACGCAAATAAACATTTTCATAGTTATTTAAATTATAACTTATAACAAATTTTATCAATTACATTTTTAAACCTATTTTTAACCCATGTGTAACCGAAATATTGAGGGGAAATAAAGAAAATGATTGAAACTATTGTAAAATTGATATCAATAAATGAAATTTTATTAATTATCTTTTAATTTAGAAATTCTAAATAGAAATTTATTTAGCTAAATCGCTAACACTGCTAAAAGGAATTTAATGAATTTAATGCATCATTTGAGTTTTTATGAATATTCACTATACAATTTCTTTATCTTTAGAACTTAATGTATATGAGAGTGTGTGTTTGAGACTTTGTTATCTAGATTTTTCTGATGATGGTTTTTAACAATTACAATATTTTGCACGAATACATTTTTTAAAATGTATTTCTTCAGTTATTGTACTATAGTACATAATATATTAAAATGTTCCTTATAAGGATATTTTAATGAATTTATATTCACAACCAAGCTAAATATTTCTAAATGAAAGCTAGTTGCAAATCAGTAGCTTCCTACCTTTAATTTTCAAGTGAAAGCTTATAGAAAGAAATTTATACAGTTTAAATTACAATATTTCAGCAACTTTTTCACATTTTTAAAGACCGTGCGTGCGCGAGCAATGTTATTAGAGGTAGCAGTCATACGAAATTTTAAAGAGTTAAAAGGGTATTAAAATATCCAAAACTCAGTTTATTTGAATAGAGCTGAAAGATATTTACCGTCGGTTAGGAAGTGTTTTTAAACTTCCTCCACCAGCTGTTTTTGACTATTTAAATCCCTTGGAGGAAATAGACCATTGATAAAATAAACCGTAATAACCCGATAGCAGAAATCCTCCAGCAATTAAGCAGACGCTGCGGAATTTCAGAGCATCTCTGCAGACTATTTTTCATCTCAGGTTCAGAAGTCTGTAAATTATTGCAAGGAGTAACCAAAAAATCGGCTTTAATTCCTAATCCTAACTCAATTACTAATCATTTCAGGACCCTAACAAAATTTGTTTCGCCAATCTACAGATGCATTAGAAAATGATAACTTTCAAAATTTTAAAAAAATTTACTCTCATTTACTGGAATTTTGAAGGAAAGAAAATTAAGTGACAATAAATAAATTCATAATTTCTGAAAACTATAGTTGTTAGTTTTTAAGACTGTATGGGGAGAATTATAGAATAATTTTCACCTATTCCATTTAAAATTGATAAAAAATTTCCTTTATTATATATATATAATTATTTATCCTCTTGAAAGTGATAAAAAATTTGTGAATTTTTAAAAACATCTTTTGTGTACAGTTCTTTCTTACCTAATATGTACTAATTATGCAGTACACATGCTTTAAACCTAATTCTAACCATAATAGTCCCTGTTTAAAAGCGGAGAGACAAATTTGAATTTATGAAAATTGTGCTGCATATTGAATAAGTGAGTTTTGAAACCGGGCATACTAAGAGCGATGATTACACAAAACCTTGCTTAATTACTTTTCAAAAGCAGCATCAGCGTCCACGAAAAAAAGAGATTCTATTGAAGGCGTTCTGGAATCTGCTTTAGACAGCAAAGCGGCATGCCACATGAAATTCTCTCTTTGATGAAACACAACCAAATGTAAAATCCATTTATCTTTCTGTAAGAAGACGTGGCCAGTGAACATACTGCTGTTTAGAAATTTCTCGGGTTTCATCCAGCTTAAAATTGGAGATTCAACAATTTCTATTTGAAAACCAATTTTCTCCAATCTACTTTGCACATCTTCCTAAAAACGAAATTGATAGTTATTTTGAGTACAATTTGTAAATTTTGCACTGAAAATTTCAAATAAATTGAGTTATTCATTATTTTTAAAAAAAACTATCATTTTATCTTGCATCTCTTTTGAAGTCTTATCTTACTAACTTTTTATTTTTATAAAAATTTTTAAAATATTTTCTTATAAGCAGTGCTTCGGAGAAAAAATTTATATTTAAAAAGAGAGACAAAAACATTCTTTCATCTTCACTCATTTTCCTAAAATTATTTCCAAAACCTTAATTGAAATATTTTGAAATGCGGTGATGGATCGATGAAACTGTTTACTTTTTTCAAATCTATTTCTTTAATATATTTAATAGTTTCTTTTTCGTACAATTAGCTTTCAAAAATTCGCAACAAGAAAAATAACGTGACTTGGTAGAGTGTTATAATTACCTTTATGTTTTTTTAAAATTGTGGATTAAAGAACAAGTTCTTATTCTGTTAGTTTGAAAAGTTCTCTATATATTTTTTCAGAATTCTGCTAACTGAAAATGAGAAGAGGCTGACTTGTTATTATCTTGCTTTAAAATTTAATTTCAAAATCCCATTGAATAAAACTTGAATAATATATTTATTCCGGGAAATCCTCAAAAATCTCACTTCAACAATAAATCACCTAACGTGTCTCTAGGTAGGAACTGTGATGAAATGGATTATAACCTTTGAGTAAATTTCAACTGATGTTGTTCAAAGAAGTAATAAACTTAGTGTTTTTGAAACTTTTTCTCTATTAAAATAAAAAAAAATAGTTAGGAGCCTCAAACTTGATTGAAAACTTTAATTTCAAACTGTGTATAAGAGAGAGAGTTTAAACTTAGACCTAGAGGGTTGCAACTTATGCAAAATGGAATTTTTATTTTGCCAAAAAATACTGTGGCACGCTTAGGTAAAAAAAATTCAAAGTGAAGAAAATCGATCCGAGGTACAACATGATGTTATAATTTCGATCATTAGATATTACCCCTTGGACAATTCGCTATAGCAACACTTGAGTACGCACTCTAACGGGAGCCCGAAAACATCAGGCATTTATTTATTAAGTTTTCATTTAGTTCCATCAGAATCATTGGCAGAGGCAGACGCCATTTTCTAAGCAGCAAATAAGAAGCAAAATTTCCCTAAGGAAAAGGCCGAAGAACTTGAAAAAACTCTTCAGAACATTGGTAAATCTTTCAGAAACGGAACAAACCAAACATTTGAAAAAAAATTCCTCAATAATTTTTAACTTCTATTATCAACAAACTTACAACTGATAACTTCCGATTTCGGGATCGCATACTGCGGTAAAATACGCTGCGGGTTGGCGAGCGCCAGCGAGCAGGGGACGAAGCCTCCTAGTGTTATCTAAAAGTAATGAAGGGATAATCTATGTATATATTATTTGAAAATAAAATTTTCAGACGAAGAACATTTCATTTGGAATTCTCCGGATTTATTAAGCAGGTGAGTGATATGATTTTTATTATAAAAAATTTGCTTGCAAATAATTTTTTTCTTATTTGATGATAGTTCTCTACAAAATGGTTATTTACGTCTGATTAAGAACTATAAGAATAAAGAAAAGAAACTATATGAAAGTTTTTTATTTCAATATTAAGAATTTTCAAAATCGTTTTTTATCCTAAGAATTCTTTACTTTACGTTTCTTAGTTTATAATTTTTGATAAAAAATTTTGTCTAAATACTTTTTTTGAAAAATTAAATGGTATAACATTATGTGCTTATGTAAACTTCTTGCACATTCTATTGAAGTAATATGATTCAGAAAAGTATGGAATAAAAACTCGGCACTTACGTATTAATGATACCGCAGCTACAGATTTGGCGGTTTTTAAGTGCCGCCAATCTACACCTAAAAGTTTTGCGACAAATCGTAAAATAAAACACTTTATTTAAAATCGAAACACTTTCAAAATTCAAAACACTTTATTTAAAATCAAAGTAATCGATCGGATTTCGGTGGAGAATGGGCTGATATAGAGTTTAACAGATTCAAAACTCTATTTTCTTTCGCCTGACGCTGTCGCCATATGAACTCTAATAAATAAGATTCCAAATGAAATAACATTTCAAAAACGTACGTTTACCAAGATAAAGTTTCATGTTATGGGAATTGGTACATTTTCGTTTTCTTGGTAAAATATTTTGCTCCTGAAAAAATAAAATTGCATCTTGTTCTGTTTTTGTCAAATCCCAAAGAAGCATTTTCGCAGCACTAAAAAATGGCGTGAAAAATCAGCAAACAAGACAGCAAGGAATCCAAAAGATAAGTTACATATTGATTTACATATTGAGTTACATTTTGTTTTAAGTTAAATATTGAAATTCATATCGAGATCTTGCAATTATAAAATTTTATTGTGTGGTATGTCATTTTGAAGTAATGAAGGGATAATCAGTGTATATATTGTTTGAGAATAAAGTTTTCAAATGAAGAACATATCATTTTGGAATTCTCCGGATTTATAAAGCAGGTAAGTGTTGTAATTTATAAAATAAAAAATTTTACTTGTTAATAATTTTTTTTTCTTATTTGATGATAATTTTCTTTAGAATGGTTTTCTACGTTCGATTATGAATAAAAAAAACAAAAACAAGAAACATGAAAGTTAGTTTAAAACATAATAAGTTCTTAAATAAGTTTAAAACAGGCTCTTTCTAAGGCTAAAATAAGCTCCATTTTAAACTTATGTTTCAAAAAATATATCGTAATTAACTTTTAACTTTATATTAAACGACACCCTGGTTGCCATTAATATGTTGTATAATTTTTTTTCCATTTTTGTATATTCAGTTTTATCTGTTTTTCTTAATTTCTTGGTCTAAATTTATTATTATTAAAAGTCTTATGACTACCATTATAGACACAACACAAAACCAGCTTTTTACTGAAATTGCATTAAAAAATAAAAACTTGAAGTTTAAAGTAAATGCTTTGAGATAACAATGTATCTTGGCTTCACAAATTTCATCGGAAACTAATCTAGATATGATTTCTTCATAGATTAATCTTTTAATTAAATGTAATAATTTTTGGTTTTATTTTTTAAAAAACTATATGAACACGATATGAAAAGGAAATATTTTCACAAAAAATATTTATGAAATATTAATGTAGACAATAATATGTTGTCGTACCTGACCTTTTCTAGAATAGCAACATCTTTTTGCAAAATTCCTAAGGTCAACAGATGATCTGATGACCTATTTGCTATCGTGAACTTTCTCTTCAAAAGCAGGCTTTTTAATGAGGGTGATAAAACACAAAACAACAATGAAGGTTCTATTATGATAGGTTCTATATCTAACTCATAAGAAAACTCAGCGAACTGCAGAAGTATATTTATCACAGGAGACTTTGAAATCTGAAAATAATAAATTTTTAGTGCTTTATCATAAGCTAGAATTATGTAATAACAAACATAACATTAAAGTACAATGCAGTCCCTGTATAAATAAATATACAAATTAAAATACACATTCTTATTGTATAATTAGAGAAACAAATGGGGCCGGGATAGTTTGGTTGAAAGGACGTTGGGCCCATGTCCAAGTGGACGTGAGTTTGATCCCCACTGGCAGAAGACAGTGTTCTAATGGACCCACCGGCCGTGTTGTAAATGGAGACTGGAGCACATTATATCTATATAGTCACAAAGTCCTCCACGTTCTCATAGCAAATCATACCGCAGAGGGTAGTGAATTTACTGAATTAGGGCTTAATCGCTCTCTAGTTCAGGTTAAAATCACGATCTGAGGATGCATGACTGGGCTCGCCCTATAAACGGGCTGTGACGTATATGTGTGGCATAAGTCAAATTCTCAGCCATGTATGACGACAGTATTAAACATGAAAAAGCGCACCACCTTTGCCTTAATAGCATATGGCAACAGCAACAGAGAAACTAATTTCAGTAATCTATATACAGTAAAAATTTATTAGCATTGTAGAATATCAAAAAAAATTTAAAAATATTTTCGATACATTCGATGAAAATATTCAGTTTTCGTTGCGTTTTTTTTATTCCATGTCGTTACGTAGAAAGTGTTCCATATTAACCACCCTTAAAATATTTTGTTTTTAAATTACTTCTTCGAAAAGTTTAAATTTGACTGGTTAAATTTATATTTATCGAGGAACAGTAAAAATTTATCAGCATCTTAGAACGTCAAAATGTTTACAAATATTTCCGTTAATTCAGTTGAAAATATTCAATTTTTGATACGTTTTCATTAATTACATACAAGGTGTTCCGTAATAAGAACCATTTAATTTTTTTTAATTGCTTACCAAAAACTGAAGTAAAAAAATTCTCTTATTAAGAATATGTTACTCGATAAATATATTATCATAATATTTATCGAGAAGAAAGCAAAAGTACTATCAAAATCTAACGAATCATTATTGAAGACGGTAGAACTTAGCTCAACGTTTGTATGATTTCCAAAAAAAGAGACTGCAGTGAAAAGTATTTTTTTAGAAATATCTTCAAGTTGACAACTGCTCCAGCAGATAATTCAACTGGTTATTAGGTTTATAATTCGTCTGCATCGGGGATGGGGGGGGCAATGATTCGTTTAATGGCGATATCGTTTTTACTTTTTAATTATTTAAATAATAGTATATGACTCCGATTTTAAATATATTGATTTCCCTTCTAACAAAGATACTCAAAACATATTTTTAAAGAAAAGGATCATTACAAGACATCCTGCATTTTATACCAATTTAATGACCTACTCATAATACCGCTATAAGAAAAATAAATTTTTGAAACTATAAAACAGGATTCTAATCTAGAAAAAAGTGTCGTTTTTATGTGTGAATCGAGTTTTAATTGTAATCCAAAACGTTAGCAGAAAAATAATTACTTTTTTCTTTTGAGAAAATTCTTAGAAAAACACATCATCTCCTGCTGTAGAACACATTTAGTTATCATAGTAACTTTTATAACAATAAATTCCATGTTGGACACACCTATCATTAAAGCTGCGCTAAAAATAAATTTTTGGGTGGAGCTAGATTCTTAATTATCATCAAACTCTTAAATACAAAAAGAGAATACAAATAAGAAATTTCTTATGTCAAGAGACGGAATATTATTTTTTGGGATAGTCGGCGATTTCTTTAACAGTTTTCGCAAATTTTTAATAAATCTTCAAAAAAATAAAGAATTGAATTTTATTCTCTCTGTTTTTGAATAAAAATAGGTATGTTTAAAGCAACTACTGAGAATCATTGCAGTAAAATACACACTTAAAAAATATATTTGAAAGCTATTCTGACAACATTTAGATTTAACTTTCTTCTTTGTCAGCGTTAATTTTTGAGATTAATTTTAATTCATTTTTAATAAAAAATTAATTTTCGACTTATGTATATAACGAATTTATTCTAATTATACATAAAAAGGGGTGTGGTGGCTCGGGGGATAGAGCATTCGCTTCCCAATGTGGCAACCCAGATTCGAATCCCAGCGTTGGCTGGTTGATACAAATTCTGCTCGCGGTTGGCGCTGACCACAGTGTTGGATAAAACAACCTTGGAGGAAGACGAATCCCCTTGCTATCGGGCTAACCATGGGGCGTTCTAGTGTTTTCCTCCCCATGTAACCCTATTGCGGGCTAGTTCCATCAAAAAGTCCTCCACGAAGGCAAATTTCTCTCAATACTTGATTCAGGAGTTCCTTTGTCTTCTGGATTAGGTTTAAAATTACAAGACTGAGGAATCGAACATTGACAGTCGTAAACACAGAGCTGGATCGGCTGTTCAACGCCGATTATAAAAATGATAAAATAAAAGTGTATAAAATAGTTATAAGGATAACACAAATAGTAATATTGATACTAAATATATTATATCGATAGTAACTTTCTTTTTAAATTAAATATTTAATCTAATTGAACAGCAAATTTTAACTGAAAAATTAGATTTTAGCATTTAAATTGAATTTAAGAAATTAATACACCAATTATCAACACTCATAAATCATAACACTTTTCCATATTATGTAATATAACCTATTTCAATACTCAGAGAAATTTCCTGAATTTTAAATTCTCCATTTAATCCATTCAATAAACCATTTTGGGTTTCTTCATTCTTATCATATTTCTTTGCATAGTATTGGAAAATATAAGTTCCTTAACCAGAAGATTCCCGGTCCCTGAGAATTAAATAGTTCAATTTAATATCTACCTTGATTATATTAAACTACTTTCTGCCTCCGGTGACCAGCTGGTTCGTCTTTTTAAATAAGTAAAATTTCAAGTATTTTAAGATTTAAAATCGTACATTCGAAAATCAGGAAAATGTATACCCGTGAACTCTTACTGGTCAAGTGAGAGTAGTTTTAACTTTTGCCTCTTACATGTTTGCTTTTTTCGTGCTTTGGCATTTAGTGGAAGTTCTCAAATAACACGAAAATGGGTATCACGTTGTTCAAATATTCCGTACAACATATGCTAGCATTTTACGTAAAAACGATATGCTAATCAGATCATGGCGCTTTTGATGGATTATAAAGCAAATAACTTAGGTAAATCAAACTGAGCACTTATTTGATACAGTGAATCATCCTTTTTTCAGCTGTCAAAACATTCTATAGCGAGCCAATGAATTTTATTTGAAAGATTTTTTTTTTGTGTGTGAAAACGAATTAGCGTTGAATGTTGGAAATTTCTTATGGTGAAATTATGCACAGACCTAAAACAGCAAACAATGCATTTTAAAGCAAATAATAAACAAAGAAAAAGTAGTTTAGTTTAATAGCGTTGTTGGAGAACTAAAAATAGCATAACCAAGTGAATAAGTATTTACGTTAAAAAGTTAAAATTAGTCCTTACATCGATATGATACGTTTAATTGGTAGTTAAAATGATTGATATGATACGTTTAATTGGTAGTTAAAATGATTGATGTGATACGCTTAACTGGTAGTTAAAATGATTGATGTGATACGCTTAATTGGTAGTTAAAATGATTGATATGATACATTTAATTGGTAGTTAAAATGATTAATATGATACGTTTAATTGGTAGTTAAAATTATTGATATGATACGTTAACCTTTGATTGCCAACCAGTTTTATTTAACTTTTTTAAGTCTAGACGAAAAGTTCTCTTATTTGCTATTAAAAACTTTTCTTTTCTTAAAACCAAGCTTTTGATACTTCAAGAATAAAAGCCTTAAATGTGAATACAGAAACATACGCTTAATATCATCTATACTCCGTTGTAAGTTGTGAGAAGACCATTGCGATGAGGGATTTAAGTAATCATCGGCGACTGTATTTTGTTATAAAGTTATACTAATATGCTTTCAAAATAATTTGAAAGCATTTGAAGTTAATTAATTCTTGCTATCTTACGATATTTATCACAGACTTATTGAAAAAAGGCTATAGTTTCGAAGACTTACAGGAATCCTAGACTTTGCGACATATTTTGATAAATAAGGAGAACATTCGAATCAAATGAAATGAGAGATAATTTTCACATTGCCGACCAGGTGACCGAGTGGTTAGCGTGCCTGACTGCGGGCCGATGGTCGCCGGTTCGAATCCTGCTCGTGGATGTTTCTTTCTCTCTCTCTGTGTGTGTTCTATGTCTTTTCTCCCTTGTGTGTATGATTGTGAGAATGTGACCCGCCCTATAAACGGGTTCGTGATTGTGTGACGTGGACGACACTGCACCACCGCCGTGGCTTCGCCACAGGTGCCCACTGGGTAATGAGAAGAGAGTAGCAGTTCTGGCATTCCTGAGATCAATGGGTCTACGTCCCAAGTGCCCCCGCCATAAAAAAAAAAATAATAATAAATAAAATTTACATTTGTTTTGTAGTAGAAAATAGTCTGTAAGAAGCTATATTTATTATTCTTTCATCAGTTTCCTTAAATTCGAATAAAAAGAGGTATATTTGTTACAACTTTTAGATATAATTTTTATTAATTCTTACTATTTTTTAATTAATTAAATAATTTTTGTTTCTCTAATTTCAGAAAGCGAGCAAAGAGGAAGCTGTGCAGCATTGTTTCGAGAGTTGGCGATGTTGATATAGGTTGAGGATGAGAGCTTTGCATCCATTTGGCGCATACTTAGATGCAAACAGGCTCTCTCCATAGGGTCAGTGGTTTTTTCTTAACTTGCAACCGAGTATATCATCTGCTAGTGCCCAACCTTTCAACATTAGAAATTTGGATAATTTTTATAAATTTAATGGCATTTTCTCCTTTAGAAGATAATAAAAAGTTGACAAATTTAAACAAAGTTTTAAAAAGATTTCATATTTCAAAAATAATAACTATTGTTAATATTTAGCAACACATTTTATTTACACCTGTAATATTTAAGATTACCTGTTATGTTTAAATATAAGTATTTCTTAAATTTTTGATAACTTATGTTAGCCTGAGTACTTGTTTTCATGACGCGTTTTTATTTTAGTATTTTACTTGACTATTTAAACTATGAATTTAGTGAGCTTTAAGTATTTCATTTTTTTTCTAAGGATTTTGTTTTTTCTAAGTTTTAGAACATTCTGCAATGATGCTGCTCCATGACAGCGCAATGTTCAAACTATAAAAACACATTTTTCAATAATTCGTGTAAAAAACATTTAATGCAAAGGGATAAAAAAAATATATCAAAATGATCCAAAAAAATTTTAGCAATCTGTAACATAAACAGGCGTTCCAATCGGTGAAGTCGTTCAAATGATAATAGCAATTTTAAGTTTAATATGTAACAATGAGTTTCAACAATACAACTTCGTATTATCGATGTCGTATCCTAACTACACGACGCCAGAAAGGGGCAAATGGTTACAAACCATCCCTTGAAAATTTGCAAGTAGTGTAAATCGATGCTCCCTTTTTCGAGTTATTAGCGAGCATATATGCAGACTTTCATTTTATATAGAGAGAGATATTAAATATTTTTAATGTAACAATGACATAGAAATATAGCTCTTCAGCTAACTATTGTCTTTGTAAGTAGACTAGGTATTTCGAGGTGATGTGATTTCCTCTCTCCATTACCATGGTATCCACAAATCTCACTTTTTCCCCTACCCAGTATGTCATTATTATAGTATTATAATAACGTCTAGTTATGAGTTAGTTGTAGTTCATTTACGTCGCACTAGAGCTGCACAATGGGCTATTGGCGACGGTCTGGGAAACATCCCTGAGGCTGCCATCATAATTTTGATTCTCTGCAGAGGGGATGGCACCCCAGCTTCGGTAGCTAGACGACCTGCACGTGAAGTCGAGCACTTTACAGTAGAACAGTTTAACGANAAGACATGCCATCACAATTTTGATTCTCTGCAGAGGGGATGGCACCCCAGCTTCGGTAGCTGGACAACCTGCACGCGAAGTCGAGCACTTTACAATAGAACAGTTTAACGAGGACCAATACCGCACACCCTCGGCCCCTACGCAGACTAATCCAAGTGGTCACTCACCCGCACACTGACCGCAGCCAGTGATGCTTGACTTCGGTGATCTCTGCTGGGAATCAGTCCACTGCGGGACAAGTTATGAGTTAGAGATACTCCTTTTAACTGCCGTGTGAATAAAAAGAGTAGCTTTGCTGCTTGTCATATAGTTATTAACGCGAATAAGCAGCGAATGTGACGCCATTTTTTATTACTGGGAGTAAAGTGATAATTTTTTTGAAATAATTCTTCTGTAGTTGCATACACGTTGTAAGTTTATTTGTGCATGCTAAATTTATTTTTAACATTCTTAGAACTAAAATCAAAACAAATCATCATTATACGCTTTGAAAATGACTGAATAACTACCAATTTATATATATTCTACCCGGTGGACATTTATCCAACCCACATCATGGTTGTGATTCTGAGAAACAGGTGGGTGCAAAAAAAAGTCACGTTTTGAAAAAGTGGTGTGTATTCTGAAGTGAAATTCAAAACGCTTCACAGTTCAACAAAAAAAAAACTTTAATTAGCTATTATTATCAAGAATCTTACCTCTTCATGTGAATATATTTCCTTTCTGTGATTAAAAGTTGATAAAGTTGAATTAGTTATAATTGAAGGTTTCGTGAAAAAGCATGTTTCCAATTCGAAATCCAACATATCTTCAGAAAACTCTGGTGGTGCAATTTTGGCATAATTTACATCACTTTTCTGTAATAACAAATTGTGATTCAATTAAACCTATTTGAAAATTCATAAATGATTTTCTATTAAATTATTCAAATCAAAGTCCTTGTCAAATTTTTATTACTGAATTGAAAGTAAAATCCGGTTTAAACCAATCGAACTTTTTAATTTAATATATTTAAAATTAATTACAATGACTATGTTGTTTCTGATTGCAAAACCCATAAGACAATATTCAGTATGTCTGATCATTCCAATTTAAATATTTGCACGGGCATTTACTAACTTCCCCTTGAGACTGTCCCACCATGTTATAGTTAAGTTTTATAGTTTTCTCAATTAGAAGCGACATCTGCTGTCGAACTTAACTAAATTTCAAGTTGGTGAAAATAAATGTAATTTTCTTAGCAGAACTCAGCAAACGGCGTATTTCAATTTTATTCCGTTTTAGTTCTATTTACTTTTCAAATTGAACACTTTAGAATACCTAAATTTAGAAACCTATTTTAAATATAGATACATGGTATTGTTATTAATTATATTTTCTTATATCTAAATACATTTCATCAATAATTTTATTACAATTATAAAACCTTAAAGCAATTATAATGTTAAAAATAAATTTTTTCTGTGCCATAATTCTGCATTCTTGTCTCGTTATAAAAAACATTTGTTAAAAAACTGACAAAATTTTAAATTTTACATTTTCAACAATAGAGTTTAGTAGCTAATGTCCGGATTTTTATATCAATAATACTTTTATGCACATTTCGCGTTTGTAGCCTCTTTTGCTTTCTTAAATTTTGAAGGGCAGATTTGAGAATATTTTTATTTTAAGAACTGAGATTTTTGGATATTTCGTATATTTAAGAGATTTTTTTTTAAATCTGTGGAAGTACTAGTTCACTTTTTCACACATTTTAACTGAATTATACCAATCAAATAAAAAGAGGCAAGATTTGAATAAATTATAGTTGCATAGTTGTTAAATAAAGCCTTGGAGAGAAACCACGACTTTCAAACAATAAGAAATGTATCTCTCTTCTCAACAGGTGAAGCGACAAAATTTAAATATTCAAAAGCCAATGAGTAAACTTTCAATTAAATTGCCCCAATAGCACCTGCAGATGTTGAAAGAACTTTCATCCGGTATAAAAATTTACTTCCAGATAAAAGACGTCCTTTAACATTTGAAAATATCAAAAGGCATTTAATAATCAAATAATTCCGATTTCTTCTAATTTCGAAAAACTGTAGTTTTGAACCATTAAAGTGCGGAAATCAGTTATTCCACAAGTTATCTAGCTAATGTGCATATTAAATTGGCTGAAACCTAAAGGCAGAGTTTCCCAAATGGTGTTCCACGGAACCCTAGTATTCCGTGGAAAGGGTTCCGAGAGTTGAGACGTTTATAATCACGAATTTTAAAACCTGTCATTAAATTTATATTTATTTAATTAATTGACCATTATTCATTAATGCTTGTGAAGAAAAAGAAGTAAAAGTAAAAAATGTCGTTTCTGAAAACAATATATTGAATGAATAATGAAAAAGATATGCATTTATGAAATGTTGCATCAGTATTTCGCATCAAATAAAAATAACAATGAAGAAGTATGATTTTTTGATAACCATTCTCCACATTTATTTTCACCATTTTTTTTTTATTCCAACGAACGAAAATTTTAAGACTAGTACTCATAAAACACAATGAAAAAATTTTATACTTAATACATTCTTTAAATATTTTTAAAATAATTGATAAAATTCATGAAAATATTTTTCTTTCTTTCAAGTTCCTTGATTAATATATTCATAATTTCGAATGAAATTTATTTATCAAGTCTCGGGGTTCTTTCTGATGAAGATCGATCATTTAGAACCCTAAAAGAACAAATACGTAGTCGAACAAATTGGGAACCGCTGCTTTAAGGTATCTGTCTTATCCTACTGGCCTCGACACAATTTTTTTTTTAACGAAAAGGCTTAATTAAAATTTAAATTTTATGTTTATCAAGCGGTATTCCTAAAATTATAAACTCAAAGTAAATTTTAAAAAATTATAAAATATTTCTCAAAATAGGAGCAGATTTGAGCTGAAAAATTAAACATTCGTTATGCCACGCTAACAACTCTACAACAAACCTAATGCATAAATTTTAAAATATTAATTTCTAGGTCAATGATGTAATTACGTATATTTCGAACTAAAACCTTATAAAAATTTCAAAAAGACAATGAAATGGAATTGTTAAATATTGTTAAATATTTTTAAGAAAAATTCCAAATATTCTTACATAGCGCTTTGATAAAAATAACAAACTTAGACCTTGGCTTTCATTTCGAAATATCACTAACATTATACAAAATCTACATACCAAATTTCAAAGAAATCAATTATAAACTATTTTCTTATAACGTATTTAGGCGTAAAGAAATTTTCTTAAAATCAATGCTCTTCAGAAAATGCATCTAAAATGCAAAAAAATTCTAAAATACAAAAAAAATTTTATAACAAAAAATATGCCTTAAAAATATATTCATTCAAACTAAAAAGAAATTAAAATATTCAAAGCATAACAAAATAATTTTGTTTCGTTTTCGGGAGTTATTTTCCGGTTTCGGTTTCGTCTGGTTCTGTTTCGTTCAAAATTTTGAAATTTTCGTTCGGTTTCTCTCAAAATTTTAAAGCGTATTGGAAAGCTCAAGAGCTGAAATTCAAATATGGACAGAAATTTTCAAAATTTTCGTCAAAATTGCCAATTTTCACCCAGTCGGATACCTCAAAAGGAGAAAAAAAGTTTAATTTCTAAAATCTATGTATTCGGTACGCAAACGTAACCTTAATGGTAAATTTATATCCAATTATAATCCATTATTTATTTAACATATTCTCGCTCTTTTTTTTTAAATTATTTAATTGAAATACTTGACGTAACATTTTTTTAAAGAATATTTTTCCTACCAACAGCTTTTGAGCTTTAGTGATACACACATATATGTATTTATAAATCAGTGTAACGTGCGAAAAAATAATAAGCGAACTTTGGTCGTATCTTCACGTTCTAAGACTCAATCTTAATTTTTCGTGAAAGTAACCTCAAATTTGCTATTTAAATAGTACAGAGCCGCGATTGCTCAGAGGATAGAGCGTTCGATGAGGTGAACCGATTTCGAATCCCAGCCATAGCTGGTCGAGACGAATTCCACAGTGCTGACGTGAAATACCCTCAGTGATAGACGGATCATGAGTTAGTCTCCTTGCCGTCAGTCTAACCATGGGAGATTCTCGTGTTTTTCCTCTCCATGTAACGCAAATGCGAGTTAGTTTCATCAAAAAGTCCTCCACAAAGGCAACTTTCTCCCAATACTTTATCCAGGAGTTCCCTTGTCTTCGGGATCGGGTTCAAAATTACAAGGCTACGGAGTTGAACATTAGTAATCGTAAACCTAAAAATTGGGTCTGCTGTTCAACGACGGTTATAAAATAAAATTAAGTAATGCAGACGATACAATACGAAATCATATACAAAAATGTACTTTCTCTAAATAAACGTACCTTTTTCATGATGGATAGGGATTTCTGGATATAATATATGGGGAAGCATCTATAGGCGGAATCAATTTCTCAGGAACTATTTGATCGATTTTGCTCTAAGTTTGTGTGTTACCATGTAAAATTACATTCCTTAAAATTCTGAAGGAAAACGCATATCTTACAATTCAAAATTCTTTCGACAATTATTAAATAAAATAATAAAAATAATAAATGTTTACTAAAAGTTATTTTTCGTGCGGAATTATCTTTGAATAAATGAATTTTAATAACTGTGTGCAGAAAGTTTCTCGAATCGCCTAAAATTTTCTAGAGATATGGGGATATGCTCTAAAAAGTAAAATTAACTTTAGTTGTCCAAACCATGGGGACTATATTTCTCAGATTACGGCTATCCTCTATCTTGAGGGAGTCCTGAGCCCATCGTAAAGAAAGTATGATTATTCAGAGAAAGTAGGTTTTTATATCTGGTTTCGTATCTTAAAATATATTCAGCACTAATTAATTAGAGCATTTGTTACCTCTTCGAACCATTATGATTGAGTCCTAATACGCAAAGATGTGATTATTATATCGAAAGTTATAATTTTTTAGCACTGCTCATGTACTAAAACACTTTTATTTTCATATTTAGTCTGTCATTTTTGCATTTATTATCAATTTCAATCTTTAATAAAAAGTACAACTTAATATCTCTTAATAAACATGTTTTAGTACAATATATGGGTAATATGAAATTATAATAATGTTTCAGACTAAAAAATTTTTTATATGGAATTTTTATTAGTATTATGAAAGCATTGGTAACTCATCGATAGCTATTTTTAAAGCACATTGAAAAGCATTTAGTAAGCATATGAAAACATTAGTAATAATTCTTTTTCAAAAGATGTAAAAACATCAATAATAATTATTTTTCAAAACATATAAAAATATCAATGATATTATCAAAAATATTCCTTACTTACTTCATTTTCAGGTGACGAACTATCCGAGAAATATAATAAAGAAGTCACAAAAGTCAAACACAAAAGCAATAATCCAAAAAACAAATACTTTGCTATTGAGAGTTTCTTAGTCTTTCCAACCATTTTCCACAAACGATTTTTACGCTTCATAACATGATAGAATTTTCACGAACTTCATATAAAAAAATAATCAAAATTAAATTACAATATTTATTTATTTTTATTTCACTTTTTAAAATTTATTGTCAATTTAATATTTTGTAAGTGTAACAAATTTTAAATAATTCAAATTTCATAACTATTCGGAATTTCTTTTATTACTTGAAATTGCACTTAAAATATCATAAGAAATAAATGAAAGTTCGAAAAAAAATTGTTAAACGTACATCCACGTGAACTTTTGTCCAGATCAAATCACTAAATAACACTAAAGATTGTGGCTACTGTTCCCCCACGAGATATGCTTTTATCACCCTTAATTTTATCACCACAGCAATTTTCCATTAGTCAGATTGGCAACGCAACCTTGTGCTTAGCAACCACGCCCAGTCTAAGTTTGAGTTTCGTTAATAAGAAAATTCCCTGGACACCAGGTTTTTGTTCTTTCTATCAAAAAAAAAGGAAAAAAATTCTTCTTTTAAAATAATGCGGTCTCTTAACATTTCTTTTAATAGGAAATCGACCGAAAAACGAAAATAATTCTCTAAGAACACGTATGGAAAGTTTTACAAAGAAATGAATAAAACTATATATGAATAAAAAAGAAATTAAGTTTAAAATCGGAAATAGTCTGGTAAATAAAAACAATTTCTAAAATCAGATATAAAGACCTTTATTTTACTAAAAATTTTATGAAAAGTTATAATTAATAAAAGGTTAAGTTTAAAATTGCACATAATTCGGCAAGCAAAACTAATTTTTCAAAAATGAGTTTAACAAGTTTTACTAAAAAATAAATAAAACTAATAGCTTGGAAAACTACACATGAATAAAATAAGCTTGTAAAACTGCTAGCAAGCTAGTTCGTAAAATTGCGTATGTATAAAAAAAAAACTTTAAAAGTCCGGCAAATGAAAGAAGCTTCTAAAACTATGCATGTTTGGTTTGACTTTATTAAAAAAATGGATGAAACTTCTTAAAAACTGAAATGCGTTTTTACTAAATACTTAAGTAGAATTGCAGTAAAGAAGAAAAGTAAATAAATAAGAGTGAAACGCTAAAAGAAAAAGAAAGAATAAATAAAAGATAAGGTCTTAAATATGTATTTAAATTGGAAAATATAGCACGGTAAACGAAAAGAATTTTATCAAAATACGTATTGCAAACCTAACTATATTTTAAAAATCTAATAACAAAACTAAAATACTAATTTATTAAAGTTGTTAAGTAACTGTAAAATAAATTTAAAAAAATATTTTACTAAAAATAAAGTACTTAATAAAGTATAAATTACTAAAGTAAAGAAAGCTAATGACAAAATATAAAAAACCAACCCTAAACAAAAAACATACCTCAGAGAGACCATGTTGGATTTCGAATCAGGCGCATCGATATTTTCTTGTATTTATTCAGGCATAATGTGTTGTCTACAGCCCTGACACTTAACGCTAATCTCCCAGTCACGTAAATAATATACAATGAGACAGATGTGAAATTTTAATATGGATTTTAGGCGGCAATCAAAAAAATCAATCGCAGGCCGTGAATTGGATAATAGTAAAGAACAATGCTTTAGTTAGCTCACAAAGTAGCCGTTTTTTGTAGAATGCAGAGCAGAGCAAAAGTAAAGATAAATCATAAATCACTTCCGCGTTAAAAATAATACAGTGGAGAGTTGATTTAGGAAGTTGAAGTTACAGGAAACAGAAATAATATCTTAAAAATGTTGAAAATTCGACAGTCTCTAAGAAAAGATGCACATTTGTTTTTATTTAACTGTCACATGCAGATTTTATTGGATAAGGCGATACAATGCAAAATTTATATTATTTAATCTTTTCTTTTAATTAAACAACGGAAATAATGACTTCATGACAAATTACTTTTATAGAAGTCGCACTAACTGCTAAAATAATATTTTTTAATGAAATTTTTTATGAAATGATTTTGATGAAAATAAGACAGATTTTGAAATATTTTGATTATGAATTTAGCTGTGCAGGTTTCCGTGTGTTTTTTACTAGACCTTTTGTCTACATTCTGAGGGGAAAAAACTGTGAAATAAAAATAAATTCCTAAATATTTTCCGTGCATATAATTTACAGCTGTTTCTCGAAAGCTCTGTCGTCACGCAAAATAATATTTTTTAACGAATAATTTGCTATTTTTATAACTGTAAGGAGTTTGTAGCTTGCGTTAGTCATTCATAACCTAAGTTTTGTAAATCTTTTACAAGCGTTTATGCTTATTATGAAAATGACGCAATGTATATGTAAAAGGCACAGAAATAAAAGGTGAAGTTTTGGGAAAAGAAAAAGCTTTTGTTATTTCCTTTTTGAAAATTTTTATAAATACTCTAACACTGAATTGTCAAACCTCGTAAGAATGTGATCATATTGAGAATTATTTATTGATTTTAATAATTATTTTCAGGATTTTTATTATTAATTATTATCTAGAATTAATAATAATTATCTAGAGTTAGTTTAAAACAGTTTATTGATTTGTTTCAAATGTTTAAGCTTGTTTGTTCTAAATTTCAGTGTCCCGCAGTGGACTGCTCGTTAAGACACGGTTCCCAGCAGATCACCGAAGTCAAGCATCACTGGTTACGGTGAGTGTGCGGGTGGGTCACCACTTGGATCAGTCCACGTAGGGACCGAGGGTGTGCGGTGTTGGTCCTCGTTAAACTGTGCTACCGTAAAGTGCTCGACTTCGCGTGCAGGTCGTTGGGCTACCGAAGCGGGGGTGCCATCCCCTCTGCAGAGGATCAAAATTATTATGGCATGTCTTCGGATCATCCTCAGGGATCTGTCTTCGGATCATCCTCAGGGATGTTTCCCAGACCGTCGCCAATAGCCCATCGTGCAGCTCTAGTGTGACGTAAATTAACTACTGCAACAATCTAAATTTCAGTCCACTCTTTACGGTCAGATGATGCAGATGTTGAGAATTACATCTTTGCTTCGAGTTTAAAGCAGTTAAATGGCGGATTTTATAATTTTTCCTAGCAAAGGAGTTTCGAAAAATACCCTGGGGCTCTACTGATGTAATGTTCTCACTTCTTCCACCATGGGATAGTCCCGCAGTGGACTGATCGTTAAGACACGGTTCCCAGCAGATCACCGAAGTCAAGCATCACTGGTTACGGTGAGTGTGCGGGTCGGTGACCACTTGGATCAGTCTACGTAGGGACCATGGGTGTGCGGTATCGGTCCTTGTTAAACTGTGCTACCGTAAAGTGCTCGACTTCGCGTGCAGGTCGTTGGGCTACCGAAGCGGGGGTGCCATCCCCTCTGCAAAGGATCAAAATTGTTATGGCATGTCTTCGGATCATCCTCAGGGATGTTTCCCAGACCGTCGCCAATAGCCCATTGTGCAGCTCTAGGGCGACGTAAGTGAACTACAACAACAACAACCATGGGATAAATGATGCCCTTGTCACTACAGCAGCTATGCTTTATAAACGGATTAATCTATAATTATCAAATTTAATATATATTTTTAGTACCTTTGGATAAAATGAAACCATAAATATTTATCTATTTATTGTTTTATTGAATTTACATACATTTTCAGGCTTGTGTGCTCAATTTAGGCTTATAAACCTTTGTCAAATAGAATTACAGATAGTACAATACAGAGAAGGGCTGCACGAAGATACATCCAGGGAAATGGCGGTATTCGAACCCGCTACCTCCACGCTTTGCATAGCGTTTAACAAGCGATACCGCTTGCCCAGTTAGGCCCTAAATATTTACATTTTGATATGCAAGGGGAAAAATAAAATAAAAACATCATCTGACTCTGATTAATCGACAATGAGGCGTAGGGGGGATTAACTCTTCCAAAAACTAAATTATTTGAAGTAGTTTCTTTATTTACGTCACACTAGAGCTGTTGACGACGGATTTCATTGACTTTGATTTTGCTATGTGAAATTAAATACTTTAAAATTGTGTAAAAATTTATATACCTTACAATTCAAAAGTTTTACGACTGTTATTAAATAAAATAATAAAAAATAGTTAATATTTACTAAACTTTACTTTTTGCATGGATTTGTCTTTGGATAAACGAATTTTACAATTGTGTGCAAATATAATTAAATTTGCTTTGAAAGTTCTCGATATATGGCAAAATACACAAAAAAATATTAACATTAAGGGGACCAAACTTTGGATCGCTCTCCTGCCCATACTATGGGGACCATATTTTTCAGATTAAGGTATATTTGTTCAGAGAAAGTACGTTTTTGTGTCTTGTTCCATAACTTAAAACATCATCTGCCTTAATTAATTAGCATATTTTAGAACACCCCCTCTAATAATTAAAATGGAGTCCTAGAACGTGAAGATCCGATCATTAGATCAATAGTTATTCAGGGTAAGGTTTTTTTACGCACTGTACATCGATGCTATAAAATCTAGTTCCTACCAGACACAATTCAACTTTGTAATGGACGGTTCAACCGTTTTGTCCACGTGACGCATGATATTGAGTAATGCACAATTGAGTAATGAGTAGTCCACTGCGGGACCAGTCCTGCAGTAGATTGTTTGTAAAGACACGGTTACCAGTAGAACACCGAAGTCAAGTATCACTGGCTGCGGTCAATAAGCGAGTGGGTGACCACTTTTGTTAGCCTGCGTTTGGACCCAGGGTCCGCAGTATCGGTGCTGGTTAAACTGTTCTACCGTAACTCGACATAAAATATTTTATGAAATTTTCACAGCATAAAAAAAAAAGAAAAATCTAGTTATGAAGGGATTTAGGAAAATAAATCCTAACTGTTCTCGACTTCGCGTGCAAGTTGTTGGGCCACCAAAGCTGCGTAGTCATCCCCTCTACTCAGGATCAAAATTGTGATGACATATCTTCTAATCATCCTCGAGGATGTTTCCCAGACTGTAGCCAATAGCCCATTGGGCTGCTCAAATGCGACGTAAATAAAGTACATGCCTATAGAATTGGCTGCTGCTAGTAGTGGATTTGATCTTTAATAGATTTTCACATGGAAGGTAAAGGAATTGAATTTAGGTTTTTTATTTATTTATTATTATATATACATATGCAGGTCTGGATGCTCATTACAAAAAGACTACTTAGAAACTCTTGCCAAGTTGAGGAGGAACTATTCGCTCAAATTGGAGGAGGACATCATAATGATGCGTCCAGGGTTACAGCGGGATTTGAACCTGCTACCTCCACTCAATAGAGTGGCCCCAGGGAGGCCCCAGCGTCGTCTTAGAATCTCTATTTGTTTTAAAAAAAACTTTTATGACTTTTAAGTCTAAAATATCTCAGAGGACCGTGGTAGCCCAGTGATTAGAGAATCGGATTTCGGTATGGAGGGTCTGGGGCTCGTTCTTCAATTCCGCTAAGACCCACCGAGGACATGCGATATACGTGATCGTAACATTTGTGGAATCGGAGAAAATTTTCTTCCCCTTCAGATCTATGCCTAAATTGAGAAAGTGGCCTCACACTATTGTGATAGCATGTCTTCGGATCATCCTTGTCAGGATCCTGATTCCTCTCCCACGCATTTTATTGACCCCTGTCCTGAGGGTCAGAGGGTAAGGCACACAGGAAGTGTCGTCCCCTTAGAGTAGGGGTGGACTACGGAGAAGTCAAGGACATTTTTTGTGAGAAAAAATATTTTTATATATAAGAGATGGAATGCGGAGACCAGATAGACTGGACGTAGTTAAGGAGTAAGGAGCCGTAGAGCTCCGGAGTTGTGGTATAACATCTATACTTGCTGATATGTAATTGTGAATGTTTATATAATCCGGAATTTTAAATTAAATATTTATATAATTAAAATTCCTTATCATCATTAAGAGTGATTTGATTCAATGAACGAACCAAAATAGAAACATCTCGCGTAATAGAGAGAGAGAGAGAGATGTCACAATCCTCAAGGATGTTTCCCAGACCGTCACCAATAGCCCACTGTGCAGATCCAGTACGATGTAAATTAAGTGCCAAACTAAAATATCTATAGATGAAAACAATATTATCCATATTCAGAAAAATTCCTGATTAAAATTATAATTTATTATTGCTCCTTCGACGCGGAATCACATTAATAGAGAACATGTTTTCCTTAAACGTGAGACTTTTCTAGTAAGACTATGTAAACAGACCTTGTTTTTTACATTATTGCGTCGTGCTTCGGCACAAAAACATGACACGTGCTGTCAATAATATCGCAAATTATACATATTGACGTTTGACGGTGAATTTATGCATCGAACAACTGTAAGGGTAGCAAATAAAACGAGAATTGGTTATGCATCATGCATCACTACAGCGCGAGAACGCGAGAATCTCGCATATTTTTTTCTTTTCTCGCATTACCGCGAGAAATTATTACCGCGAGAAATTCGCGCATTCTATAAATAAATTTCAAAATTCACGAATTTCTCGCATTTTGGAAAAAGCTTCGAATTACGCCATTTAGAATAAAATCCGTTTCACTTTCATTATTTTCAACATCTGCCCCGTTATCTAGCTTCCTTATTTACCAGTATTGTTCAGAACAATTTGAACAACAGAACACAACCACGGAACCCCTTTCAGAACACATTTCTCCGCAACCACGTGTTTACCGTAGGTAAGGTTTCTTCATGTAAGACGTTCAATTTTTTTATGTGCTAATGTAAGATGGACAGATACCTTGTAAAGGCAAAATCTTCTATGATGATGCACCAAAAATATTCAATGCTTTGAAAAATAGAAGACGTTAAAAATGTATTAT